GTGAGTATCGCACGGTTTCGATTCGCATGAGGTTGCGAGAAGGGCTCGAGCTCATCGCTCGAATGGATAGCTTCGTTTTCACATCTGGAATCAGGGCCGTCCGTTCGCACTATTTGAACGAGGGGGTCGCATTTGTGATTTCGGGAAGAGGGTTCGCATTTTGGGGTTGAGCAATGTTATCATAGCGAGAATGGAAATTGACGGAGGTCGCTGAGAGGTTGTTTGGACAGGTTTTTTGACGAATTATGTGAAAGTGTCACGAAGGTAGTGAGGATTGGGCAAAATTGGAAGATTGGTCGCTTCACGATATCAATTTACACTCCCTCCCCTCCCCGTTACCGGCTCGAATACCGTATTGGAGGAAAAGTGGGCGGAGTTCGGCTGTGTCGTCTGATTTCAGAATCAAGTACTATGTATAGAAACAGCCACGATGGTGAGTGTGATGGTCGAAGAAAGGGGAAGGGAGGTCGGAAACCTTTTGTGCGAAATTTTTGAAAACGTGCGAACGTAACAGTTGACCCTGTGTGGAATGCGCAGAAATCGTGCAGGACATCGACAGTGCTGCTGGGAGTCGTTACTGAGCTACTCACTAATGTTGGACTCGTCAAACTGGAATCCAACTTATTGCCGTTCCTGAGTCGCAAGCGACGACAAAGGCTGGTCTTCCAGCAGGACAATGCAAGTGTTCCATGCTAGCAGGTCAACTTCCGCATGGTTGCAGCGACAGAAAGTTGAGGTTATGGCGTGGCCTGCGTGCAGTCCTGATCTGAACCCAATGGAGAACCTTTGGGGAATAATTGTGCGACGAGTTTATGCCAACAGCAGGCAGTTTTCCACCATCGACGAGCTGCGAACCTAACAATGAGTATGCCGAATCGAAATGTTTTCGGTGAAATAAGGGGTGGACGTGTACTGCTGAAACGCACTGTATTAGCTAGAAGTATCTACCGATAGCGACTGGAGAACGCTTTTTCAGGGACGCTTCTTTAAAGGGGAGTCCGTATACCATAATATACCGCAGTTGGTCGAAACGAACACTCTAACGTGAAGCGATAATGATGAAGTGAGTGCAGCGCCAACAAGATTTCTAATGTGAAATCTGCCAATACCCTTAACAACTGCAGTGATGCTTTTCTGTATATAATACTAATAAAATTAAGACAAGTGCTCTAGAGATAGCTCTTTGACCTGTGAATTCAGGATGAATGTCCACTGAATCTACAGAAGAAAAAAGAAAATTGCCGACGAAGGGCCAACGAGCGAAACTCTGATGGAGCAAACTCGGCACTTATTCATGGAGGAAAGCTCATATCAGTAGTCATCT